GACTTCGGGACCAAGTACCCTGAAATGATACTATACTATACAAACACGAATCTAGATGCTAGCTAAGTACGGATGAACTACTTAAGTCGATTAAACATTGATTTTGATATCAAAGTGTGGAACGGGGTGGAATAGATAGGCCACGAAGCTCCAGCGATCAATGTTTGGACCGATTTTATTCATTATGTCGATGGTTTGGAAGAAGGAGCATGCAGTAAGCTTGTTACACAAAATGGGAGGGAGGACCAGTCAATCCAGAGGGGATGAAGTAACTGCGGTAGCCTAGGAACATAAGCAGATAAGGGGCTTATTCAGGTCAGGGTAGAGGAACTAGGAAGTAGAAAGATTATCTCACAGGAGTGTGAAGTCAGAACATTGCAAATAGAGTGGAGAAGAAAAGGCATGCCAGCCATCCCAAAGAGAGAAGGAAGATCATTCAAATGCCCTAAGGCAAAAATAGTGACTAGGGAAACTAAATAAAAAGACTTAATAGATTGGATTAAGAAAACAACTCATGAAGTACATAATGAAGGACACTTGTCATCATGGATAGAACTCGAGTTAGGGGTGGCCTAACGGTCTAGAGATTTCTTAAAATTAGATGACAGAGCAACTTAATTAGGTGTTAAAATTTGTATATATTACATATGTTACATATTAGATGACATATAATAACATAAACATTGCTTTGTAAGTTATTTTATTCAATTTTTAAAATTTGGTTTTGTTAGTGTTATGACTATATTTTTTGTATAATGTTAACAAATATTTCCATAACCCAAGATGGAAAATCTCTTATGTATTGTAAAATTTTTGTCTTATCAATTAAATTTGTTCTTTGACAATTTCATAAATGTATCTATAGTTTATTCTCATCCCACAGGCTCCCTTGTCTTCTCACTCTGGCTGGTCCCTTCCCCTCCTTACAGGTCCTTCCCCTCCCTACAGGTCCTTCCCCTCCCTACAGATCCCTCCCCCTCCCTAGGGGTCCCTCCCTCTCCCTACAGGTCCCTTCCCCTCCCTACAGGTCCCTTCCCCCTCCCTACAGGTCCCTTCCCC